AGACTGGGAATATTTTTCCAAGAGGTGACTTTGCATATAGTCAGGGGTCCTTAGTGGAATTAATGGTGAGCCCACCTCAAGCTGCTTCATTAGTAGAAACCTTGTCAGTGAGGGAACAGGCTAGAAGGGACACTGAGTTTATATACTGACTATTCTGGATAAGCTGGTTTATGAGAATGGCTTTAAAGGACTCCTTGAAACTTGTGACATAACAATAATGGTGAAGCCTTGACAGAAAGTGAAGTTGTAAGTGGAGGCAATTGAACAAAACTTTGGTAAAATCTGGCTTTAGGGTATCTGGAAGGTGCCAAGAGACATAAAAAGAGAAGTCAATTGGTCAAAAAAAAAGCAGAAGAGTGGGCTAGAGTGGTGCCATAAGAAAGTATTTCCAGAGTGGTGACCCATGGTATTAACATTTTAAAGAAGCTGAGAAGCAAGAGAAATGAAGAAGCAAGTGAAAAAATTCCCTGTATCCACCATGGCCTACCAGGGGTGTGGTGGGCTCATGGGAGCAGTCTCATTCATGGCATTTTTCTGAGTTTTTGAAATCAATTTTCCTAAAAGTCATAGTATTACAAAATCATACTCTAGGTTTCATTCCAGCTACCTATGTGCTGACTGTAGTCAACTTTCTGAAGAACTATCTGCCTTTGAACAATTCAAGTGTTGGTTAAGTACGAGTATTTGCCTCTCGCTGATTTTCTATCCCTTCTGTGCTTAAAGGCAGTGGTAGCACTCTGATTTCTCCTCAGGACCTTCTTTTTCTCGGTAGGTAGTCTTCTGAGTTCTGATAGAACGTTTTCCAATCACTCTCCTCTGATTAAAACCTACCTGTCCTGTGCCCTGTAGACTTGTAAACCAACATTTACTCAGCATCTGAGGTGAATGGATTTGAACGTAAAGGCCTATGGCTTATCCTTAAGAGACATTCACAACAGTGGGTGACGTGTTCATAAGTGAGGGTCATATAAGGCAGAGTGATGTTCTCTGACAGCAGGAAAACAGAGGTGATTTAATTCCAAGAATAAACAATTTATTCAGCTAAAAGCCAATCTGATAAGCTGATATGAGCTGATAAACTCATTTGATGGCTGAAAAGCCAAAGTGAGGATGACATTTAACTAAGTCTTTTCAGTTTTAATCTAAGATACTAAACAAACTGATAATTAGGGCATTATCCTCAAGGGAGTTTTGGTTAATGGCAACTTGTCTAGAATTTCTTTAATCAAAGTTGTTGGCCACAGGGTTAATGTTTCATTTTGGTTTTAACATAAGGCTAGTCTTTTTTGGCTTATTTGAGTCCTTAATTTCTTTACCATTTCTTATTGCTTCTGCTGTTTGTGTTTCTGAGCTCAGAGTAGATGTTTAATGAGATGTGCTGTAATCACCTGAATTTGCCTAAATTTCTTACCCATTGTTCTTCTCATCAATTGCATCATGTCCTCTGTTTTTTGGCCTTTGAAAGGCCAAGATGCATTAACATTGGCCACCCCCCCACCCCCCACCCCTGCCCTGACCAAACTTCAGGCAGGCTTCTTCCTGACCCAACACCTCTGACCTCCCTTCCTTAGAGCATTTACTTTAGAGAACTTTTCATTGTAAATTCTTTGTCTGCTCCATTGCGGATGTAATCTCTCAGCCTCTTGCCCGTTTTACAGCCCAGGAATACCTTTCTTAAGGACAGGGGAGCCAAACCTTTGAAATGCAATCATTGAAGGAGATCTCCAATTGTCTGTTGGAGCACAGAAGCCTAATTTTCTAACTGGGACAATTAACAAACACAACTGACCACCCTCCCCACTAATAATCTTCAGGACTTCTGCACTATTTCACCCCAGTACTTAAAAACCCTCCTGCCTTCCAGATTGAGTTCAATCTCTCTTTTCTCTTGCATAGGTCCTGACTGCTTTGCAATAATCTTGAATAAAGTCTTCCCTGCCTTAACTCCTTCACATGCAATCTTTCTTTGGCATTTGTAATTCCCAAAACAAAGACTCTCTTTGGCACTTTCTTTTGCTGTTTTAAAAATTTTTTTTCTAGGGGCACCTGGGTGGCTCATTTGGTTAAGCGACTGCCTCGGGTCAGGTCACGATCCAGGATCCTGGGATCGAGTCCCGCATCGGGCTCCCCGCTCAGTGGGGAGCCTGCTCCCGCCCCCCTCCCCACCCCTGCCGCCTGCCTCTCTGCCTACTTGTACTCTTTCTCCCTCTGTCAGATAAATAAATAAAATCTTTAAAAAAATTATATAAAAAATTATTTCTAGAAAATACTCAGCTGACTGGATTTACAATTTCCTCCCTTTTTAGGTCCCTCACAGATTCCTGGGGGAACTTAACTTTCCAAGGCCTGATGTCAGTCTTCCCTGATAATAGTTTCCTTGTGTTTTTTTCTTTTTCTTTCTTTTTTTTTTTTTTTTTTTTTTTTTGGTGTCCTGCGGATTGAGCTGCTGGAATAACCCATATATTTTTCAACTATTTAACACATTCTCAAGGAGATCATCTCTCTCTTTTGTATGACAGCTACCTATCACCATCAATTCTTCCTCTGAAATCAGCCAGTTGTCTTAACCATCAGAATCCTACATACTATGGACATGTCCTACTTTGTGTCTAAACAGGATACTCACGAAAGCCTTGTTAAAGTCAGATGTGTATTCCCCTTTGGGGGCCAACATCTGGGTCTATTACTTAGCACATGCAAGGGAGAAAGACACAGAAGAACTCATAAAATGTTTCAATAAATTGCATGCCATCCCAAAGAGGTGTCTATGAAAAGATAAAATTACAATTTGGGAAATGAATGCAAAATTTTCTTACATCTCTCTCATTTGAAAAATTTAGAGGTTTTCTGTTTCTGTAGCTCTAACACTTACATCACTCATCGTTTGATTTGGACAACTTTAACTCAGAAGACATTTGTGACATACGTATTTGTCTGTGCCAAGGACTACAACAGGTGCAGAAGGAACTGGGACAGTGAACTTAAATTTGGGTAAGTATTTACAAAATCATGAAATAAGCACTTTTAAAAAAATCATTCTTACAGTGTGTTGGCTGACACATCTTTAATGTAACAATGATAAATTCAGAGATTTCCCCCCAAGACTTCAGTGCTTTGTTATGTTAAATATTCATTAATTTTTCTTTTTCTGACAAAACACTGGCCCATGATGTATGGGGTGCCTGACTTTGAGTCTAAGCATCTATGGTTTGGGAGGACATCTGTGCTGTCTTGCATTTTGTGGAGATGGGCAGAGATAATTAAGTTCCTTCCTCAGTTAGATTTGTATCAACAAAGGGCACAATTCCATGGGGCTAGCCATGCTGGAAGTGAAGATACAGGGCCAGACATAGCTGAAGAAATTGGAAGGCCATGGCTGCAACTCTCTCAGGCACTTTAGACAGGTCTCTGAAAGTGGAAAAAGCAAGGAGCATGATTGAGATTCCTCACATCAATTTTAATTTTCTTTCCTTTTTGTTAGTTCTAATGTTGTCTTGGTGCCTCCAGATTATTGGGAAATGATAAAGAAAAATATGAATCTTATTATCTGGGACTTTCCTTTATCTGCTCCTGACCCTCATTCTTGCCAAATCAGTTCTAGTCTTCAGTAGAAACCTAATTTTGTCTACTGCTTTCTCAGAGAGAAAGGCTTACAACTCACTTCTGCTCATCCTTATGCCTTATGCAGGGAAGGAGAGATAAAAAGACAATAAAAGAATTGTACTTTGTTCTTTACAACATTGAATTTGAGAGGTGTGCCCCCTACCACGACAAGTTCTTCTTTATGAATAAGAAACAATGGTCTGTGGGGCACCTGGGTGGCTCAGTTGGTTAAATGTCAGACTCTTGATTTCAGCTCAGGTCATGACCTCAGGATTGTGAGACTGAGCCCTAAGTTGGACTCTGAGATTGAGCCCCAAGTTGGACTGTACGCTGAGCATGAATCCTGTTTAGGTTTCTCCCTCTCCCTCTGCCCCATCACCCCTGCTCGTGCATGTTCTATTTCTCTCTAAAAAAACAACAAACAAACAAACAAACAAACAAAAAAAGGCAATGGTCTGTAATGGAGACATTACCAACCAATTACTTATATGGCAACCAGACATTTACATAAATCAATAACCTTAATTTAATGGATTCTCCACTAAAGTAAGTAAATATAGTTTGGTTTCCCTCATGCAGCAGGTTACCTCCAAGCTCTTTCTGCTTTTCTTTTTCTTTTTTAAGATTTATTTATTTATTTTAAAGAGAGAGCATGTGTGTGAGTAGTGGGAGGAGGCAGAGGGAAAGGGAGAGAGAGAGAATTTCAAGCAGACTCCCCATCCCAGTGTGGAGCCTGACTCAGGGCTCAGTCCTAGGAGCCTACGATCATGACCTGAGCCGAAACCAAGATTCTGAAGCTTAACTGACTGAGCCACACAGGCATCCCATCTCCAAACTCTTTTTAACTTTATTTTCCTTTTCACTTTTTAGGAACTGGTTTGTGGGACAGATTTTTCTCCTCTCCATAAAGTCCAAATGACAGCATACAGATTGCTCTGGTGATCACGCCTGATTCTTCTTTCCCATAAGGACATATGATGTCATTTTGCAGTTAAAACATTCAGTAATTCATTTCACAAACTATATCTAGTGCCTACAATATGCCAGACACAGCGATATTGTGGGGGGTATGAACACAGATTTTAAAATTCAGTGGACTGTATTTGTGCCAACACTAAATATTGTTTATCAAGTGTCCATGTATACATAAACATTTGGCTCTGTGAAACTTTTTCTTCCATAGAAAATATGCAGTCTAGTAACAAATTATGAGGGTTTGTTGACTAATTTCACTCTTACCTAACAGGAAGCCAAATTGCTCAAGTGTACATTTCATACAAGGAATTTAGGATTTTAAGGAAAAGTACAAATGACATAAGGATTAAGTGGTTATTTCCAGTCTTTCCATGAGTATTCAATGGAAACTATAGGGTGTTCCTTTAAAGTTCTATACTTACTCATCTCTGCAAACAGCTGTCTTCTTTCTGCCATGGTATTTCCTCTTTTCCCACTATCTTCAATCATTCTAGGAGACAAAATGGTTACAGTGTTATTACCCTCATGCTAATGAGGCAAACAGCCATTTCTATGTAAACATATTTGCTGTAGTTCTGCCACAGAGACAAACTATTCAAAACTGTGTATTTACAAAGTGTAGCTTTACTTTCACTAATTTAAACCACCATACATATTTTTCCATACACAATGTTGTTGTAATTGTTAGAGGGAGTATAAAATTTTTATTTTCTAACATAAAAATAACTACAATAGCAGGTGACCTTGTACCAAACTGAATACAACCATCCACCATCTGTTAGGTGGTTCATTTCACACATAGTTTCTCTTTCAATCGAATACCTACAAAGAACATAGAGCAGATATTACAGATTCCATTCAACAAATGATGAGATTGAGAATCTCGTGAGACTTACTAAAGTGAATGATGAAAACATTTGGACTCCAAGACCGGTTTGCTTTCACACCATATTCTGCTGCAGGTTGTCTCAGTGCACCCAAACCCTAGCTTGGATACAGGTTATTTTCTAAATATTGATCTCTAAATTGAGTGTTTGGAACGTGCAACAGGTTTTCTATGCATGATAATTTCAGGCAAGGTGGTTAGGTTCACGTCTCTCTCCTTAACCATATTACTGTCTGTAGTAATCACTTAAAAAGTACTATGAAAATGCCAACAGATAAAACAGAATAAAAAAATTTTTCAAAAAAAAATAAAATTTGACATGAGGAGAAAGAAGATAATGAGAAAGTTAATGAAAATGCTGTTTAGCCCAATAGAGGACTTTGGGCTAAATACTAAGGGCTTTATAGGTTGATGGAGTTGAATTTTTTATAAAGCTAATTAAACTTTGGAAAAACCCAAGTTTCCTCTCTCATTCATGCATATACATAAACATATATACCACTGTGTTCTGATTCTCAGGCATGGTAAACAGAAGGCTGATCTTTTTTGCGGGTCTTCCAATGGACTCTGCTCTTTCTCAAATATGGTTCTCTCTCTATGCTGTTTTTGGGTCCAGATTCCTCTCTCCCTATGTCTGGCTAACTTGCAATAACCCTTCAGCTCTTAGCTTAGGTGGATCTTTCTCTGAAATCCTCCCTAACTCTATGATCGGCTGGGTTCACTCTCTTTCCTCTGGGCCTCCAGAGCTCACTATCCCTTTCTCTCAACGCTGACAATTCACTTAACAAATCTTTACTGAGTGCCTTCTATACTCCAGGAACCAAATCAAGTTCTAGGTATAGACCAAAGATCAAGTCACAGTTCTTACCCCTAAGATGTTTACATTCTAGTCATGGAGATACAAAATCGTAGAAGCAAAGAAATCACAAAGATAGAAGATGAAAGATAAGTGAGTGTAAGAGACACGGACTACCTGGGAGTAAATTTAACAGAACTAGGTTGTAGAAGACAGCTTAAAAGATAATGGAGTTGTGTACAAAATAACTCACAGAAGGGTAAAAGAAAATATTGGTTGTGAAACCCAATGTGATGCCAATTATTCCGGTCAAAGAGCCCCACCGGTGGTTTCTATGAGTGAAGAATTATATGCCTACTGCCAGGAAGGGAAAGAAGGGCATGGAACTGCCTTGGTTTACAGAGTTTAGGGAAGAGTGTGTTCCTGTTTATGATGGGTGGTGATGTACAGAAGGGTCTGGCCTAAACAATAACTGGAAAGAGTAGGGTTATTAATGAAGTGTCTTCGGTTTGATAGCAATTCAGTGCTGAACACAGTTAGGTACTTCCTTTTTATGATTTTAAGTACGCAGGTATGGTTGGTATATAGAGATCTGGTGAAAAACACACCCTTCCTGATTCACAGAACCCCATCCCCTTTACCCCAGAGGAAGTGAGTTGATAATAATCTGACATTCACAAAATAGTCTGGATACAGCTTCCAATTCTTATTTCAAGAGTTTAGAAGTTGTGTCGAAGCAATAGAGATAGGGGATAGCACCAGTGATATGTTCTTGCATCTGTCTGTATGTTGGAATGAGATGAAAAGAACTGTTAAAAATAAATCACAATGGATGGCTGGCTAAAAAGCTCTGACTGAAAATGTCACGGAAGGAAAGACTGGCCTCCAAACCCAGGCTTACTGTCTGTACTCCTCAACTGGTACCGTTTGTGACATCTCTTTTCTAGTTAACTTTTTGTGTGTCTCTCTGGAAGATTTGTGAGGACGATGACTTCAAACGTTTTAAATTCTTCACAGTGCCTAGTAAAATCCAATCAGTAAATGATATGACTAGTTAGTATTTATTGAAAAAAAAAAGGAATAAAAAAATAGAGGAAAGAAGAGGGACAATGAAGAGGAAAGCACAGTAAGAGCTAAGTTTGTTCCCCAAGAAAAGGACTTTTAATGATATTTCCCAAAACTGACTCACAGAAGAGCTCATTTCAGGTTACACCAGTTTCAGAAATTAGTTATTTGAAATGAGGGAGTCTAATTTATATCTATTACCATCTAGGACCATACATTTTAAAGCAAAATCTTGTCTTACAAGACAGAAGTTAAAATAGATGCAAACTACATTGATGTCCCCATGTGGTCTATTCATCATCATTTTGTGATTAATTAACTCATAAAAGAACCATAATGAGTTATATAACAGGAATTAATTCTCACTTCTGAGTAAAATGTGTACCTTATAAGGACAAGAAGGAAAAACCCAGTAGTGTGAAAGAATAGAAAACGTGGGACATAATTATAAATATAAAAGGAAAACAACACATTTCTCATTTTACCACTAAGGTTTCCTGGGAAGCAGCACTATTAGATAAAATTGAGAATACATATTTATTACCCATTGGTCCCAGTCATAATAGGAAAAAGGGAAGGCATGCTAGTTTACTGCTTACATGGATTCAACAGAGGGACCGATGGACAGTCAGTCCACGAATCGAACAGCCAAGGAACACCACCGTGGGCTCCTTAGTTTCCAATTTAACTCTGATCAGTGGGACTTGAGACACATAATGCTTGACTGTCTTCTTAGCAAGACTGAAGAGCAAAACTTTCAGTAGAGGAAGGTGGGAGGTTTTTTGCAGAGAGCAATTTTGCTTCTGAAATTGTCACGAAGCTCTGCTCTTCATGAATTTCAGTATTACAACAGCTGCCCAAAGTCATATGGTGGAGATGCAGGGGGAAAGAACCCATCTGTGACAGTAGTAATGTCACAAGGTGTGTGGCTCACCAACAGGCCTAATTTGGTGTTTCTGTTACTCCTTCATGTAGACAAGATGCTGGCAACCTTAGAATTTACCAGATTGCATAAATGTCAAAATAGCAAAAGGAACTAACAGGTGATGAATAAGTGATGAGCCCCATTAAGTCATTTCCTTTACTAGGGTTCAGTCCCATGAATTATACAGGGTGTGCCTTGTTTTCATTTATGAGAATCTATCCATTTCATTTATTTAAGAAATATTTATAAGGTAGCTATAACTTGTCAGATACTCTGCTAGTTGCTCAAGATTCAAGGATGAATAGGACATGATCCTTGCTTTTAAGAAGCTCACAGTTAGGAGGAGAAACAAATTATTCCAGATGATAATTGTATTTGGTATAATATGTACAATAATAAAAATATGTATTACTAAATAGAGTAGTTTACTTCTGGGAAATCTGAAGGAGGCATCAAAGGGTGACTCTGGAACAGAGTTTTAAAGGATAAACAAGGATTTTCTAGAGAGAGATGAGTGCAGAGTTAGAGGTAATCATGGAAAAAACATGGAGCTTTAACAAGAATATATGGGAATAGGGAATAGTTCAGTATTGCTGAGTTCAAGTGTGAATAGTGATGCCAGAACAGGCGTCAGATCTAGAAGGTCTAGACTGTGTAAGGTTTTCCAGAAGACTGGATGCCACCCGTGGTTAAGTAGGAAACTGATGTGTACAGATTTAGGTTTTGGCAAGACAACTTCAGCATACTGAGTGGAGGAAAGATCAGGTAGGAAGGAGGGTAGGGATGGGAGCACATGATTAAGGGAAGAGTCCAGTTGGCTGGAAGCATCTGTAATTCAGGAAGAAGAATATATGTGTTATGGTAAAGATTGATTTGACATTCAGGGCATATGCAGTGGGACTTGGTGATTTGCAGTCCCCGGGAAAGAATGGTGGCGGAGGCAAATCAGCATTTGCTCTCCCATACCACTTCACACACTGGAGAAAGCAATCTGTTGCAGTAATGGCTTCACAGAAAGTGAGTTCATCAAGTCACTTTCTTCCAGCACTGTCATCAAAAGGGGGCCACAAAACTGGACGGGGAGGACTCGTGTTCTCTGCCACTATTTATGGGGGACGGATGAAATAACAGAGTAGAACAGTGAGGGAACTAGCAAGAAATAGAGAATAAATCAAAATACAGGGCACAGAGTGTTAGAAGAAATGTGAATTGTATTTTGGCATAGTGAGAACAAGTTCACATTGAAATATCACATTCTTGAGTTACTTCCTTCATGACAGTTCTTTAATCCAGCATCACCCATACTAAACACACATTTCTACGCCACATGACATAAGAAGTTTTAAACGTAAGATCTTAAACTGATGGTGTCTCACATTTGTATAACTTTCTGAAGATTATAAAATGCTTCTCCCCTATAACCTTGTGAAGAATTTGGGGAGATATTATTATTATTCCCCAGTGATACCTGAAAAACTTGACCCCCAAGCAGGTAAAAAATGTTCCCCCGAAACACATTTTCTAGCAGGGGAAGACATTTAATCCCCCCCCCCCTTTTTTTTTGGCTTTTTATTTTTTTTTAAATGCCTAGGCTGCTATGAATTCTAATCGCCAGTAGCCTTACTCCAGCGCTACTGTTCAATACAAATTAAGATTTCCTGAAACTAGTAAGTGAAAAGAAGTTGATAGAACTGGGTGATTGACAGGCCAAAAGGAAATGGAGAGGATGGGTCCACAGGTCTCTCAAAATGCAGGAGAGATTTCTTCGTGTGCTACTCCTTAACGGAATCCTCCTCCTCTGAACCAGTGTTGGAACT